GAAATCTCTGGAAACTATGAGCTTTTCCATGTGGGGTAGCCTTGCAAAACACTGCATTTTACTGTTGTGCTACTGTCTGGTTCCCTGACTCAACCTCCCTCCAGGCCTTTGGCTTCTGACAGAGTTACTCCATCATCTCCTCCAATTCTCAGGTCTTTGGACTCAGGTTGAATCACATCATTGAATTCCTTCTTTGCTTGCTTTCCAACATGCAGAGAGAGTATCAGGGCTTCTCGATCAGCATAATCATGTCGGCCAATTCCCATGATAAATGACCTCTTACATATCTATATGTATGCCTGTATGTATGAGTGCTTTTGTGTGTGAGAGAGAGTGTATCTTCTATGAGTGCAACACAATAATTTGTCTACAGTTCAACTTCAACAATTTATTGTAACCTACATTTCTTCTATATAGATCATTTAGCCAGAAGGAGATCAACATTGCAGTATTCAAAGAGTCAAGGTGATATGTTAAAATTGACAATGTAGAGGGGGTTAAGATCATTGTTTCTAGTTCTCATTCAGTCTGAAGCAACCTATGAAATCTTTCATTTCAGCTTTTAAATTTGGTTAATAGATTTGTTTAGAGTGATTTAACTCATAGAGAAAAAAATGAGCAGAGAATACAGTTTACATATAACATCTGCTCCATCCAGTTACTACTACTATTAACATCTGTAATTATCATTATATATTTATATACTTGATAAATCAATATCAACACATTATTAACTAAAGTCCATAGTTTACATTAAGGTTCCTTCTTTGTGTGCTACATTCTATGGGCCTTGATAAATATATAATGATATGTATCTATCTTTATAATAGCATACATAACAGTTTTGCTTCCCTAACCACCCACTCTATACATACACATATGCTCTCCCTACTTACTTCTGGGCCACTATCTTTATTAAGTATCTTCATAGTTTGGACATTTCCATTTCTGAATTTCACTGTATGGATATACCACAGTTCATTCATTTACCCATTGAAAGATATTTGGTTGCTTCCAAGTTTTGTCAATAAAGGTAATACAAACATTCCCATGCAGGTTTTTGGTAAACAAGGGTTTTAAACTCATCTGAGTAAATACCAGAAAGCATTATTGCTAGATCATGTAGTAAGAATATACATAGTTTTGCAAGAAATTGAAAAACTGTCTTCCAAAGTGGTTAAACCATTTTGCATTCCCACAAGCAAAAAATGAATACTCTTACTAGTAAAAGTCCTCATCAGCATTTGGTATTGTCAGTGTTTTGGATTTTGGCCACTCTAAAAGTGTGTAGCCATATCTCATTGCTGTTTTAATTTGCAGTTCCATAATGAATTATGATGTTGAGCATCTTTTCATATGCTTATTTGCCATCTGCATACCTACTTTTCCATGCAATTTTAATGAAGCCAATGGCTTTCTCTAGATCATGAAATAGGCAAGCAAAGTGTTCCTATACTAGAGAAGATACTGAGAAGTCCTCCAAGGTAACAATGGATATTTAAATCTATTTTCAAAGATAAAAAAGGAAACTGTTAATATTTACATGCCTGAGATTACTGAACCCAGAATAAGAGTAAATTGGTTGTACTGACAAACTATAATTTATTTGTTTTGAAGAATTCTTTTAAAACATGAGGCCAGATATTCTTTATATTTAATCTTCTTGCCTCTATGAAATTATTATCCACACTCTCCTTGCTCATTTGCATAATTGAATAATTGAACTCTGATTTCTCTTTTTTATTTTTTATAAGTATCCATTTTAGGAACTTAGACACTACTGTCTTTTCTCAAAAATCTCAAAATTGTTGGCTACTGGAAATATATTAGAATCATACAGTTTACATACAGGCCTTTCTGTATTGAAAGACAGATGAGAAACATTTCCACTCCCTATAGTCTATGCTGGGACAGCTGATGATGTAGCCACATGCTGGGGAAAATACTTTACTGACAGACTCGTCATCTGGATTATTGCAAGTGACACTAAGCAATTGGTCTGGGAAGCTTCCAGATACATCTCTGAAAAAAAGCAATCATGTGATTGTCAAATCCATTCTGCTGTTGTTTTAACTTAGATCCCATTCCTAAAATATATTTCAACCATTAGGATTTTATAGTGTATACAAACACAGTGAATAAAGATTCCAAGTAAAGATTCATGAAGCTGTGGGGAAAGCTAACTCCCAATAACACGCTGTTACTTATTGATGAAGTTTCTACAACTTACCTTCTGCCGACTACTAGTGAAACTGCTCTTTAGTGACATTTATTACCTTTTTGCTTTTCTGTTCAGTTTCACTTCAAATTCTGTTTCATGATATTAATGTGTGATCTCTTTAAAGGAGGTTTCTGGACTGTGTATCCTAATTTACTGTCAGGAGGTTGTATCTACTCCCACTATATTCTCTCCCCAAACAATGTAGAAATGGGAGTTATGGGCAAGATAAAGGTACGTTCATTGTGGTGAACAGTACCTGTAGGAGTCTAGAAGGAGCACATAACAATTGATTTATTCTCGTGCCTACAAAATATGTCAATTAAGATACATGGTACAGCTGCATAAGTGGAGAAAATAAAACTTGACAGAATTAAGTTTGAAGTGCAGGCATCCAAAGCACTGAACAATAAAAACAGGAGCCTGCAAAGCTGTTGAAATAAATATACCTAAGGACTTATTTTTTTAAATGAGAAGTTGAAAATTTAATGCCTAAGTTACAAATCAAGGAAATCACTGGGCTCACTCAAACTCCAAAGTGGATATAAGGTTGAATTGTCTCACTATTCATGTGATAGAACCTAACTTCAAGCCACCTACCCTTAGAAAATACACCTTATGGGCTTTTATATTTTAATGTGTGTTTTTCCTCTTAAAGTGGAATAATGTTTGCCCTTTTTTTCCACTGAGAGTCCTTCTTGAATTTCTTTCTGCTTAATTCACAATTTTCCTTTCTTTCATAAAAACTCATTCTGATCTCTAAATGAACACTCCTCATAATATGCCTGTGGATACAGACATTCCGTCGCCATTGAACTACGAGTTCATCAAAAGTGGCTTTGTGTCTTATTTATATCGACTTCCATTCTTTCTCTAGCACAAGCTCTGACACAGCAATTTTCTCCAATTTTTAGTTCCATTGTTGCCATTAAGAGAGAACTTTATGAACACTTACCTTCTAGAGAAAAAATTCTATGCATTTCTTATTATAATTACCTATAATGTATACACGCAGAGAGAGACAAATCTGTAGTAGAGTCTGAAGTTAGTGGCACTATGCCTTTTGTTCCTTGTCCTCAGCCCCCACAAAAATCCCACAAGGGTTATGGAATATACAGGGGAACCATTCAGAGAACAGTCAAGGAATGTTTTCCACCGCAACATTCACCTCGAGGCAGCATGCCCAAGACCTGTTTTGAATTAACAGTGAGTCAACTCAGTACTGAACCATTAAGGGATTTTTCAGGATCTGAGCAGAATGGCTCAGAAATTCTAATATCACTTTGGAATTTACAAAGAGGTAAAAACTAAGAGGTGAAAAATTTCAGTAGTCTATGGATCGAGATGAATTCAATATTAACCATTCTAATTCTCCCAGCAAGATTTCTGTGAGTGTGAACCCAGTTTCAGAAAGGCTACATTTTCCTAGTGACTTAGTGTAAAGACATAGAGACAGTTTAAATAACATGTCTGGTTTTATAAAACAACATTATTAATTTGATACTATTTAAGACTAACACACACCTCATATGATAGCAGGGAGGTCAAGTGAATAATGTAGAGCTAGTTGCAGAAAAGGAAGTAAAAACATTATAGAGGGATCAGCAGTTGGCATAGTGGTTAGGTGCTGGGCTCCCATATTGTCAACAATGGTTTGAGTCCCAGACCTGGCAGCTTGAAACTCACACCAGGCACAAGTACATGCGTCCCCAAAATTCCCAGAGGAGAATGGAAGAGAAGGGATTGTGGCATGGCCATTCTCTCTGGAGGGTGATCTCTCACATTCTCTCTCTCTGTTTCTGTGTGTGTCTCCAGCAAGCACATGCACCTATAGAAGAAAAAAATAACTTCTAAAAATTTTTTAAAAAGCAAGCTATAGAAAGGTTCTAAAGGTTCTAAACTTTCTCCTTGCAAAATTGAGATGATTTGATCTATCAGTTATGGTGATGCTCTAAGTTTTATTGGCAATAAATGTTATGTGAATATGCTATACATTTTTCTTTAGTCTCATCACTTACATTGTCTGAAGTGCTATCCACTAAAAGAAGATGGTAATAACATTATTTAAAAGTGATTTGATCATTGAACTATTTATGCCTTTAGCATTGTAATCATTGAATTCACAGAACAATAAGGCATATAAAGGATGAAATATTTACATTTTTCCATATATCTCTGAATAGAAGTACTGCTATCAATTGTTAGAGCTCAGTTGATAAATGTGGTTCTTACAAAGGGCTTTTAATTCCTGCAAATCTGTTACTGAGAGAAATGACAAAAACCCTTTGGACTAATAATTGGGTAATGAAAATATTTACAGCTCCAGCTTGCCTACTTAAGAGACCGCTACTATATCTATCAGAAGGATCTAGTGCTGGCTTTCATTTCCTGCATTCAAATTGACTCCAAAAAATGACTAAAACAATCAGGCTTTTCCATATAGACTAAGAGAATCCAGTAATAGGGAAGAAAAGAAAGATACAGAAGAATTAATATGCCTTGCCACCGAAAAGTCTCTTTCTATTGAACACTTTGGTTTTGTCGTATTAGTTTATCTTTGGAAAGGGGGCAGAATGATCTAATGCTTACTGAAATCATATGCTTCTTCAACCACGGCACCAAACAGAGGAGAGAGAATTGAAGGCTAATAGTGTAATATCAGATGACTGCTCTATCCATCTGTCATTATGAAACAAACTACCCCAAAACTTAGTGGTTTAAAACAACTATAATAGTTTACTTTCTCATGAAATCTGCAATTGAGCAGGGCTCAGTGGGAGAAGACTCGTCTCTCTTCCATACAGCAATTGTTGGGTTTGCTTAACTGAGTACTGAAGGATCTGCTTTCGGGATGATTCACTGACATAGTTGGCAAGTTTGTGGAGGATGTGGTCGTGAGCCTAGTCTGGACAGAGGAATGGGAAACTTGGCTTTCCCTATGAGGCCTGGGCTCCCTCACAGCCTGGCAACCGGGTTTCCAGCTCCCTCACAGCCCAGCGTCTGGGTTTCCAGCTCCGCCATCCCAGAGAGGGAGCAGAAATCCCAACACATTTTTGAGTCTTAGCCTCTGGAGTCTCAGTGTCACCTCCACCCTGCTTTCTTAGTTAAAGCAACACAAAATCTCTCCCAGTTTCAAGAAGATGGTAGACGGAATCCACTTATTCATGAGGAAGCAATAAAATTCTGGAAGAGAATGTGAGAGGGATGTTATTAAAGCCAGTTTGGGGAATATACCCCAGGACCCCCAGGAGTAATACACGAAATGTGTTACGGAGCTTAGCATTTAAGTATCGTGAGACCCAAAAAGTAGTGAATGCAAGTCCAAGTCCCTGAGCACAGTAGGGGCTGAGGGGGTGTAGGGGACTGCAGTGTGGAAGAAAAGATGGACGTCAAGTGAGGGTGAGCAGGTCCAGACTGAACCAACGAGGTTAAGCTGGGACCTTAGGAACAAACTGGAACTCACATGAGTTGCCCTCTAGGATCTGCATGGTCTTTCTCTGCTCCCAGATTTCTATATTTGGTGATGCAGGTGAAATGTAGAAGAGCTGAAGCACTTTGTTGAGGACCAGTATGCAAAGCAATCCGGGCCTTGGCAAAAGTGAAGAAGGAGACACATGAAGCGCTAACAGGAGGAGGTATTGACCAGCCCCAACCACACGGCAGTAAGGTGAGCCAGGTAGCAGATTCCAACAATGCACCTCAGCAAGCACTGACCTGAGTGTAAACGTGGCCGCCTCTTCACTTCCGTTTCTCCTCTTGGAACATTTTTCTTGGAGTGAATACCAGCCAGGAACCAGCCAGGGGCAGAGATCGTGATCGTAGCTAAATCGACAAAATATAAAACTGATTATAACAGGTCCTGCTTTCTTTCCTTTAATAGTTTTTGTCTGCTTGTCTTACCAAATATGAATAGTAGGACCTCTTTTCCATGTTTTCAGATTTGTTGTACCTTTTTTTCACCTTTTTAATTTCCACCCACTGCATATGCTTCATTAAGCCATATAGAATGCAACACGTTCCATTACCCTTTGAAATCAATCTGAAGACACTTTTTCTTCAGTAGGTAAGTTAAGCCAGTTTACACCATTAGACTTGGTCAGTTCTGTCATCTTGTTTATCATTTGTCTGAAATTTGTAGCTTCTTCTATAAGGAATTATAAAAATATCTGCACACTGAACTCAGCTGAACTAACTCCTACATATTTAAAGTTCATTCTGACTAAGCATAAAAATGTATGGGTCACTTTCTTCCATTAAGTATTTTGAATATGTTATTTCAATATTTTCTGGGTTAAAGTGTTCCTATTAAAAAATATAAAGACAAATTCCTTTGCTCTGTAAATTTTTTATACCTGAATGTCCAAACTAGTTTTTTTTCCTTTTTCTTTAAAATTTTATTATTTCAAAGTTATCTTTTGTTCTTTCTTTAGAATGTCCCTTTTTCTTACTCTTGTTCTCCCTCCATATATACATGAATACCTATCTTAAAACTATATATAGTCTTGCATCTAAACTATTTATATCTCTTTTTTTAATTATTTCTAGTTTTGATCCTTCCTTTTTTCCTACATATCACTGACTTAATAACTATTACAGTCCTGCTAATTTAGTTGCAATCTCTGAAATGAATTTTTTTTTTTATTTCCAGAGTCTATCTACACTCATCAAATTTTTCAAACCACTTATTTCTGAGTTGATTTGTATTGTCTTTCTCTTTTTTTTTGGATAGGTTTTCACTATAGGGTGCGTGTGCTCGCCAGACAGACAGAGAGAGACATAGAGACAGAGAGAAATCACCCCGCAGGGGGGATGGTCACGCCGCAATCCCTTCTCCTCCATTCTCCTCTCGGGATCTTGGGCACACACGCACACGTGCCCGGCATGAGTTTAAGCCACCGGGTCCAGGACGCAAACCGCCGTCAACTACGTGGGAGTCCAATGACATAGCCATTATGCTAACTGCTGGTTCCCTGTATTGTCCTTTTATAACATCTATCATTTTTAAATTCGTCTTAGGTCATTCTGAAATCTTAGATCTGTTCAGTGAGCAAATCTTTCTGCTGTGCTTTTATTACTCATTTGGATATTATTCAGCTCTTATTCTTTCTTTCTCATTGTAAATTATGTATGAAGTTTGACTGGAGTTCTTCTGTTGCTCATTTATTATGTGTAATTAATTCTATACTTTTAGAACATTTAGGTGGCCTAAGAGAACTTTGCTTTTGGTGGCGGAAAGGGTGTCATGCTTTTGCTTTTATTTTTTTTTTCCTTCCTGTTCTGTTTTATTTTTCAACCTCTTTAGATCTCTCTTCTTTTGTTTTGGCAAAATGACCAATAAATGTCTGTGTAATTTCTTAGGCTGCATTTTTCTGCCAGAGCCCCTCCTTTTTCTACACATACTTTTATCTGAATCTTC